AATAGAAAAAAAATTTCTCCTCTTCTTGTTATTCTAATGAATTAATTCTGTAAGGTGTAAAATAAAAGTCTCTTTCCCCAATACGTACGAATTGGTGTAGAATTCAAAAATAATTCGTTGATAATATGTATTAGTTAATTTAGTGGGGACATTGATTAGCATTGGAACGTGAATTGGTTCTTCCTTGGTGGGACTTGTGCGGTGGACCTTCCATGAACTTGCATTAGTACTACCATTGGTATTGAAATTTGGCGTGGATCTTCAAAGTCGTCATTTGCGGTGCTTCTTTTCCATTTTTCTTTGAAAATAGGCAATGCATTTGCCATGCTTCCGGGCCATTTGGCGTGGGGAGTGGGTTCCGTTCACTTTGATTGGTATTGGCATTTGACCGTCACTTTCTTTTACTAGCTTTGTTCATTTTCTTCTCATTTGAATGTTGTGCACAAGTGGATGCTTTTTCAAATAATTTTTTTAAAATTTATAAATTCATTTTAATGAAAATAAATTTATAACTTTATGGCATAGATTAAGAGTATATTATATAATAAGTCAAATAGTTAGATTCACTAACATACAAGTATCATCTTATAGATCACATTTAGAGTTTAAGCTTTCGAGTTAGCACTTAAGAATATTAAAGTTTTTGGGTTAAATACTTTATTTGGTCACTATACTATTGAAAAAAGCCCCTTTTTTAGTTCCTATACTAAAACAATCCCCTTTTTGATCCTTGGGGTTTGAAATCCAACCTCTTTTTGGTCCCTTCGTTAAATTTTGGCTGATGTGACATGTTAATTAACAGAAAAACTTTTTTTTTTCTCTTCTTAAATTACGTGGCAAAATCCATCTGATGACATGGCCAAAATTTTTTGTCTAATATAACCTTAAAAATCATTTAATTACATAATTACCATCATAAATATTTTAAAGATTGTTTTGTAATTAAAAGTAATTGACTTTAATTACTTAATTGCCCCATCTTCTTCTCCATTGTGTCTATCCTCTCCTTCCTCTAGCTTTTTTTTTTTTTTTTTTTTTTGCAAATTTTGATAGTATATTAATTAAAGAATTACTAATTAATTTAAATATGGTGAGACTCACCCACTTTAATAATAACTCTTCTTTTGATCCTAAGAAGTGGAGTA